CCCCACACACACACACAGCAAATCTGTAAACCGGTCGACCAGGTTAAGCCCAGCTGCAGCGTTCAAAACACGCCTAGCTATAGGTGGATTTTTATTAAAACATTTCTCAGAATTAAGTGTGAAGAAACCAATTTTGTTTATGTCTCAAGCACAGTTTTATATTTGGGTGAAACGTATTTATACAAATATTTTGTGTATTTTTTTTTCAACGCTGAATCTACAAATGTTTTAATCAACGATCTCTGGCCTTTCATAATTTTTCTATTGTATTCATCCTATTGTTTATTATTTTGCATTGTTTATTACATATTTTGTTGTTATTATTTATTTATTAATTTGTAGACAGACTGTGATTTGTAGATTCAGCGTTTTGTACTCCAATATACAAATTGCGGGTTGAGATATTTCTGAAGGATAAAGATTTCTTGAACAATTTTTCGATATAAAACATTGATTTCTGCTTAACAGACTGTTGTTTAAAGTTAGCCTCTGTACTAACAGCATCGTCTGGATACGTCTTCAGCGTGATCATTCACGCACTCCTGTCTGTTATTTTCTGTGACTTCCCAATATTTCAAACTTTTAACTTTTAATTGCTGTGCTGTGTTTACTTTTTATTTTTCTGGTTAACACTGGACCATTTACGTTGACAATGGCGCTTATTGTGCCTTTTCCACGTACTGTTGTATTGACCGTTTCGCCGAAATATCATTATTATCTCGACATAACAGTGCTTTCCGTGTCAATAAGAAAATAGAAAATCAACTCGTTTAGTATTTGTCAGCGCTGTATCTGACTTGACCCTGGCTTTCAGAGGTCAATAAGTAAAAATTCGCGTCTCTAGTAACAAGGTGCGTCTGTTATTTGCAGCGACTTGTATAAATACGGGTGCAGCAGGTTCAGTCACCGTCTCTTATTTTTTGTGATTTCTCAGTGCTGAAATATTACGAAAGTAAGGTGCCTTTTACAAATTTTTATGTTAGTAAACCCGCATTAAAGATGCTTTTTAAATTCGACCAGAAATTCAGTTTTGATAATATTAGCTGGCTGTCCCGAGTGCTGCGCGTGCACTGATGCTGTTATACACACACTGGACAAAAGAAGTGTCACCCCCTAACTCAGAGTAATAAAAGTAGGCAGATCTTGGGTAATTATAATGCCTGGTCTACTTATAATGTGACTAATGAGTATAAAACCGCTGTACCATGGGATTGTATTGTTGGTCTTGTACATGTACAGCAAATATTATTCCTGTCTTCCTCGAATATGGCAAGATACAGGCAATTATCTAACGGTTACAGGTGCAAGTTATTAACCTGAAGAGGCGGAATATAAGCAATGTCAGTATATCGATACAATTGAATTGTTTAGTCAGAACCGTGCAGAGGGTCTGGTCTTGGTATAGAAACACTGGATCAAGAGACAAATTGCCTCTGATGGGTCGTCCAAGAAAAACTACTGGCCGTGAAGACCGACGACTGATTTTGATGTCCAGGTTGTCAAAGTTCGACACTGCTTGTCAGTTGACAACACAGTGGAAAAATTTCACGCATAAGAATGTGTCTGTGAAAATTGCTAGGCGTCGGTTACATGCTCATAGAGTGTACAGCAGGGTAGCAAGACTGAAACCTCTTATATCGTTACAAAACAGGCAACGTAGAGTGAACTAGGGTCAACAGGATCTGGAACTGGACAGTCCATGACAATTGGTCCTATATATTTTTTT